ACCACCGTCCCCACCACTGTCCGCACCACCCTTCGGTTTTCGAGGGGAAGGGGGGGGGGGGTTCGAACCCGTAGTGACCCCCTCCGGTTTTCGAGTTCGAGGGGGGGGGGGTTCGAACCGGTAGTGACCCCCCCCCTTTTCATGATGAACTGGGGGGGGGGGGGAGGGGTTCGAACCGGTAGTGACCCCCCCGGTTTTCCAGAAAGGGGGGGGGAGGGGTTCGAACCGGTAGTGACCCCCCCCGGTTTTCCGCCAGCAGCGGTAGAACACGCTCTTTCTTATATATACTCTGAGTACCTCAATAGTTCTGGGGTGCGCAATAGTCCGGGGGCGGCCCCTGTAGTCCGGGGGTTGGGCCCCTGTAGTCCGGGGTGGGTTTTTTGGGGGCCCTTGTACTTGGATGGCCGACAGAGTTGTTGTAGCTTGTAGTACATATAGTTAACATCATACATACTAATATGTCACATAACATGTAGCTAACAGAGACTTAACTACACACATATATACACTTATTAGCCAACTTAATAAGTCGAATAAGTCTAGGTGTTTGTTCGGATGTTTGTTTTTTTAAGGGCGCCAGTTTTTTTGGTTGGCGTCGTCTGCTGGTTGGACCTGCGGTTTGCCTGCGTTGTGCGTGTTTTCTGGGCGCGCTTGCTTGATGATCGTTGAGCGTTTGTCAGGTTACGCCAAAAAAACTCCTCCTCCATATGTTCCTGCTCCTCCTCCTCCTCCTCCTCCTCCTCCTCCTCCTCCTCTCTCTTCGGCGGATTACCGCCTTCTTGATCCTCCTCCTCATCCTTCTTCGGCGGATTACCGCCTTCCTCCTCATCATCCCTCTTCGGCGGATTACCGCCTTCTCGATCCTCCTCATCCCTCTTACCGCCTTCTCGATCCTCCTCCTCGTCCCTCTTCGGCGGGTTACCGCCTTCCTCCTCCTCCTCCTCCTCCTCCCTCTTCGGCGGATTACCGCCTTCTTGATCCTCCTCCTCATCCCTCTTCGGCGGATCACCGCCTTCCTTATCTTTGCATGCTGCGGCGGATCAACCGCTTTCTTTCCTCCTGATCCGCATGCTCTCATTCTGCGGATCAGCCGCATTTCCCCTCCCCACCCCTTCCGCGGATCAACCGCGCGCCCCCCATCCTTCGATCTTGCGGATCAGCCGCGTTCTCGGGCGGCTCTACGCCATCTTCTGTCGGCGGGTCACTCGCCTCCTCCCTCTTCCCCCCCCATCCGCAGCCTTTTCCGCCTTTCATCGCAGCCTTTTATCGCAGCCCCTTTTGGCTCGGGCTGC